GGTGGGGCCTGGAGGGTTGACGAAGTTCTCGGAAGCAGAGGGTGGCGAGGCAGGTGCCATGCAGTGCCCGGAGCCCTGCTCCACTGACTCCTGTGCGGACGAAGTGTGGCTGCCGCCCACCCCAGGATGGGGCTCAGACTGGCTCAGTCCCCACCCCACACACACACAGTCTGCTTTCTGGTGCCCTGGGTGCCCCTGGAGAGCGGCCCGCTGACTCCAGAGAGGAGCCCAGATAGCTCCACAGCCACAGAGTCTCCGGGAAACTGCTCTGGGGTGCCACCCCAGGAATGGGGTTCTCACGGCTATATCACACAGCCCCGTCAGCTAAACTTCACTGCAGGATAACAGCCACGGCTCCTAGACCACGGCCCCAGCCTCTGCCCATGCCCTACAGACAGACGGCTGACACTGAACCTTCCCTGACTGTCCGTTTGAATACCCTCCCAAGGCCTCTGACTGAGCAGGTCATTGCCCCTTGGGCCCCCTCAGGATCTGAGCTTGTGTGGGTCACCAGCTACCTCCTGGCCAGCTGCTGCTTAGCCTTGAGTCTCATCATCTCGCCGGTTCCTGTCCTCACCTTGTCCTTAGCCGACACACGTCCCTTCTCCCCCTCCTGAGCCGTCTCAGAATAGTGACCCCCTTTGGCTGGCTCACCTCGGCTTCCTCTTGCCATCAGCCCACCTCCGTGGCCCTGGCCGCATCACCGCTCACCCGACCCCCTGCATTATGGAGCCTAGAGGGGCCCTCTTGTGCTTCCCCAACCTCCGCAGCCCTCGGCCCATTGATCAGCCATGTCTGGTGCCTTGTCTCTCTCCTTCAGCTGCCCCTTCATTTGTTCCCTCCTTGATTCTCTTCTCTCTTCCCCGCTCCCACTGTTACAGTGTTTGTTACACAGGGCCTCACAACAGTCTCTGATCTTGACCGTTCTCCTTAGCCCAAGGCCCACGGACCTGCTTGTTGACCAGTTATCTCAGATTCAACCCTCATGACAGAGACTTATGGGTGCATGCCCTAGGCCCAGTTTGGTGAAACTTTTTTTTTTGCCAATGATATTTGCAGTGTCATGCCGGTCAAACATTTAATTAACTCAGCCCTCATGTCTGGACCTTAGCCCATGACCCGGACATTCCCCACCTCTGTTGTGGGCCGTGGCATGTCTGTCACCCAGTTGTAGAAGCCAGGAACCTGAAGTCATGAGAATTGGTACCTCCCCCTCTGTCATCCACCGGAAACCCGCTGCCATCAGGCAGGGCCATCACAGTGTGACCCCTATTAGATGCAGTCGATCTGCCCCTTGAGGTTGTCCAAAGCTGTAAATATTTACAGGAGCAGAAAGCCCTGTCTTTCTCCCACTGGCTGGAATTGAACTGTTGACCTTGCAGTTAGCCCAGCGTGTAACCCACCCGACCACCAGGGCTCCTTCATCCACCACCATGGTTGACTCCTGAGTAGAGCAGGCTGAGAAGCATGGGCATTGTGTGTCTGGATCACTCGGGCAGATGCCCAGTCACCAGGTGATATGGCGCATCACTTAACCTCTCTGCGCTTCGTCTGCTGGGAGGGGGAGGGGGGGCATGCTTCAGGGCCGTCGGGGGTATTACGTGAGATGGCATGGAGACTGGTGTGAGGGCTGGCGTCCCCTCCATCACTGTCTCTCCCTCCACGGCCCCGCTCTGCAACC